TAGCCTTGAGCTGAAGAGCTGAGGGACAGCGCCCATGCCCAGAGCTCAGGCCCCACAACCGGATCCCCCCCCAAAAAAAATAAAGAATCTTAACTCCAATAGACTCTTATCTCCAGTTAACTACTCAAAAACCAGAAGTGGTAGAGTACTAGCCTTGAGCAAAAAGAAGCTCTAAGACAGCGCCCAGGCCCTGAGTTCAAGTCCTACAACTGACAAAAAAAAATAATAGAGGGCTGGGAAGGTGGCTCAGTGGTAGAGACCCAAAAAAAAAAAGAATAGAGCTACTTATTGGTCAGTAGAAGAAAGAACCTTAAAAAAAGAATAAAGCTACAAGCTGAGTGCTGGTGGCTCACATCTGGCTAATCAGGAGAATGAGATCTGAGGACTGCAGTTTAAAACCAGACCAGGGCCTCATTCATGCACAGCAAACACTCTTATCACTGAGCCATCTTCCCAGTCCCCAAATAATTTTTATAACCTTGCCATGAAGAGGGCCTTTCAAAAACTTCAAGATCTATGGGGGGGCGGGAGGGAGAAAAAAGAAGATCAATTTACAAAACAGTAACTGAAACTTCAGACTAGCTCAAAGACCACAGGAAGCCCTTACAAATAAGACAAGAGACCTAATTTTCAATCATTTGCTAATAAGCAGATCACAATTAAAAACTAAATATGTAAAATATAGGAAAAACATTTTCAACCTTGTTCATAATAAAAGAAACACAAAGAAGAATGTCAATCAAAGTAAGACAGCATTTTTTTTTACCTAGATTTGTATCAACAAACTGAACTCTACTATGTACAAGTACAGGCACAAAAAAAAGAGAATAAAGTTGGGAATGAAAGAAAGGCTGATGAAGTATATTGTATACATGAATGGAAGTATCACAATGAATTCCCTCCCTTGTAAAATTAACTCATTTAGTAGGTGCCCACGGCTTACAACTGAAGTTCTAGCTACTCAGAAGGCAGAGCTCTAAGAATCGTGGTTTGAAGCTAGCCCAGACAGACAAACTCAAGAGATTCTTATCCCTAATTAACCATCAAAAAGCCAGAAGTTGCCAGACACCAGTGGCTCATGCCTGTTATCCTAGCTACTCAGGAGGCTGAGATCTGAGGATCACGGTTCAAAGCCAGCATGGGCAGGAAAGTATATGAGACTCTTACCTACAATACATTACTCAGAAAAAGCCAGAAGTAGCACTGTAGCTCAAGTGGTAGTCTTAGCCTTGAGCAGGAAGAGGCTCAAGGATAGTGCATAGGCCCTGAGTTCAAGCCCCAGGACCAGCAAAAAAAAAAAACAGGGGAGGGGAGGAAGGCAGAAATGGAGCTATGGCTCAAGTGACAGAGCACCAGGC